AATTGTTAATATTCAAATGAGATGTAACGTACGTGCTTGTTAATTTGTCGTGTTTACATTTAAATTAGGTTTTTATCTCTTTATATCTTGGTACACAATTTGCTCAATAGTTTTACTCACTGATTTTATATTCTAACGTAATAAATTTAGTAAAGTGCTTCCGTTGTATCACACTTAAATCATAAAGTAATTGTTTATATTTATACATATCGTTATATGAAAACTTTTAAAATGTATTGAGGTCCTTTGGGCTAGTAGTGTTATTCGAAATGGTTGAATGTATAGCAGTTCATTTTTTAAAAACAAAAAAAATTTTTACGGAAAATTACGTTTAAATACGAGTTATTGTACTCAAGTACATTATTTACGAATTTGACGGATTTTGAATGAATTAAAAAAATAAATAAAAATCGTAACGTTTGTCAATTGTTTTACCTTTACTAACGCAATGAGAACTCTTTTTGTGGTGCCCGAAAATTCGTTTTCGATGGCTTCTTCAAATTCATGTCCGGTGATATTCTGATAATCGGCGAAGATTAGTTTAAGTTGTTCTCGGTTTCTCTGACACAAAATTTGGTTGAATGCTGATTCGTCGGTTCCAGCGAAAAGTTCACCAGCGCGAAGCAAAGTTTGAGCGTCTTGGTGAGCTTTTTCTGTGTCCGTAATTCCAGACTCGTCCCTGCAAGCCTAATAAGCACGTGTTAAATTATAGTTGTGAGTCAATCAATTAATTGAATTGTCTTAAAATTTGTCAGTGTTTTTATCATATATAAAGTTTACATAAATTATCCTTACTGTTATTAGGGACACAAATAATCGTTTGAGCGTTCCGGAAGTGTCCGATTTAATATCATCTTCTAGGGGTCCATATTCTAGAATACAGGAGCTCATTTGAAAACAAATGAAAGTTATGTTTTTGGCATATCATCATTTTTCCCTTCATGTAAATTGTAACGTCTAATACGCGTACGAAATACCTATTTCAAATTTTAGTTAAAAAAATACTTATTTTAGTGGGTATTTTTTAAGTTACGAGTATTTGGGTAGGTATAATTTAAAAATTTATACATTTTGCATATATAACATTGTTTATTTAAATTATTTGACTTACTAGTTTCGTATGCCTCCCTGATATTTTTAATTTCATCGTTTGTATGAACTCCTAATATTTCTATAAGGGCGTCTTCGTCTGTGCCGACCCCGCTAATGGCTTTGTGTATTTGTTTTGCGTAATAATCAACAGTAGGGTACATTAAGGCCACCACCAAGTCTTCAAAATTTCCTCTTAATTCACTTTTCAATTCGTCGATTAAGTCCTTAAAAATGACATTTTCAGGACATTTGAATTTATCATTAGTATATTACTAGGTATCATACTTAAATTAGTAATAATAATATGTATTTCCATTATTGTTTATAAAAATTTAAGCAAAAGTAAACAGAAATACGTTTTTGAGTTGCTCGTATTTATTTCTTCAAAAAATTTTTTTTTAATCAGGTATTTTATAACGAATGTTCTACTTACTTTTCCATACATAGTTTTGAATCTTTTCGCAATTTCTTGTCTTTGTTCATTGCTTCGTTTTGCTAAAATTTCGATAACTTTTTTCTCATCCGTCCCAAAGCCCTTGAATGCCTGCTTTAAGGCTTCGGCATCTTCAGTGGGATTGAAAGGACTAGCAGGACGAATAGTAGGCTTAAAATGAAAGATATATCAGAATGAAATGATAATTTTAAAAATGTTTTCGATAAATAAATAAAAAGGTACTTACATTGACCATATTGAGAATCTACCGGTCAGTCAATAATCTTTCAATGAACGGATGATGACGTGGGAGGGTATGTTACGTCCTTTCGGCTCTTAATGTTCAACAACAACTCGTTGGTCGGTCTGTCTCCGAACACTGCCCAGACTTGCTCGACGCTGGTCAAGAATTCTATCATCGTGGTACTTGTTGAATGTACTATAGAGAATGTCTTGTAGGTGCTTTGTTGCCACATTGGCTTAAAAAGAATTAGCTATAGATTTTTATTAAAGTAGGTACCAGTTGTTTAGAAGTTAGAATTGTTCTTATATGATTGTGACCACTATAAGACGGGGGTAGGCAGGGGTTTAATCTCGGTATCGGGAATTAAGATGCCATACCCCAAAAGAAAACAGAGAACCCTAATTGGGACCATTCTGTTGTACGTTTTTCTGTTCGTCAAAACCTTTTTTCGCAGGAACGCGTAGAAGTATCAAGTGGAAATTCATATTAAATACTTAGGTCTGTAATAAAAAAATCAAACTTCTAAATCAAGGCAATTAAATGATACTGCCGTTTATGCCGCAGGGAATTAAAACCTGCAGGGTATTTCCTGTTGCCCTACAATGAAATTTAGTAAGAAGTCACATCACGAAAAAAAAAGTAATTCTTTAACTGTAATATTGTAATTATACGTTTTGGAGGCAGATTTTTGGGGAACTAAAAACATACTCGGAAAATCTGGAAAAATCATCTAGTCAATTCTCTTTATTGACGAACGATTATACCTACAAGTGTGCTCGGAATCCTTGTTGTGCGGGTTCTACTTGCCGTTAAATAATTCAGAGAAATATTTTAAGATTTTAATGCTTGTTACTGAAATGTCGAAGAATAATTTTTCTTTAGAAAAACGGTTTTTGAAACATCAAACTAAAAATGGTACTGTCGAAAAATTCAGGAGTTAATCCTAGTTGAATTTCCTTCGTCCATGCAATTAATACATACTCAAATTCTTTTCACTGAGAGTTGTCGAATTTCAGGATTTCTTGATTTAAGTTTCATTTGTTTTAAATAGAGCACTTGGAGGAAGAGAATCGCGAAAATTATGAAAAACCCAAAAATTTATATACAGGCAACTCAACGATTTTATAATACTTGCACTTATATAACGTTGGTACCATAAAAAGGACAAAGGACATAGGATGTGATTGGTTGAACGGAATTATTTACAAAACATTACCGTGTACCCACATTTGAATAATATATTCATGTTCTTATTGGCAACGATGCTTAACAAAAAGTAATTGGTATTCTATTTTTAACGGTGATCACATGCTGTTTAACTGAATGTTTTATAATTTTAAATTGTACTATGTAAAACCTTCATACAGCGGCTAACATGCTGGTTGTTTAAAAGAAAGACAACCGTAATTGCACAGAAGATGCTGTATAGTCTAAACAAAAGCAGCATCGGGCGGGTAGATCTTATTAGTGAGGCTCTTGTCTTTGCGGAATTAGTTTTAATGACGATACTCGACGAAAAATGTAGTTATTAATAAATAAATTTAGTTTTAAAATTGTTTATAGGAAATTAACAAAAATTAATAAATACGAAGATAACAAATTATTAATCATGGAATTACTAAATTAAAAAAAATTACTAATCAATACCTTCATGG